CCCCCCCCCCCCCCCCCCCTCCCGGCCCCCAATGGTCTTCGGTCCTCCCAACCGTAGTGGCAGCAGCAGCGGCAGAGGCAGCGGCAGCGGCAGCCAACCATTCTCAATCATTGACATCAATGGAAATCCATAGACCAGCAGCAGCCACCGGGTCGATGCCGTCACCGCCTCCGCCTCCGCCTCTGCCTCTGCCTCCGCCTCTGCCTCCGCCTGCCCTCCTCCCCTTCTCTGTCCACACCACGCACCACCAACTGTCTCCAACCACATTGTACACCTCCCTCCTCCACACCCACCCACGTGTGACGGCGACACTTGCGGTGAGCAACAGGTCGGACAGGAGCTCGGCGATTTGAGTCTCTCGTCAGTGGCGACAGGGCACACGAGCGCATCCATCATCGAGGACAAGCCATCGGGGACAGACCGACAAGCCATCGAGGACAAGTCAGCGAGAGCAAGCACGGCAGAGGTCATCATGTCGGCAGAAGCAAGATCAGGAGAGAGTGCGTCAAGCGGCTCGGTACCCGAATACGGGATCTTGGACCCGCCGCCGTCGCCGCCAAGCGCGGATGTGCTGCGGATTGTCCCGGGCCGCGGCTTGGTCTTCTCAGTCTCGTTTGTGTCGTCGGCAGGGAAGAAGCGCCTGCGTCCGGCGCAGGTCGTCTTGAGTCTCGAGGCCGTCACCATCATCCCCACCGATAAGAAGCGCGGGTCAAGCTCACCTGCACCGGGCGTCGGCGAGTCACGACACCTCTGGCGCGACATCGCGCGGTACGGCCGCCGTGACGAAAAGTCGGCCATCCAGCTCGTTGAGGCGCGCCCGAACGGCTCCCGCGACAGCACCATCCTCTCTTTTGTCCTCCCTTCGTCCGCCGCTGTCGAGTGGATGTACGAGGCGGTGGCGTTCTTTGTCACCCAGGCCTACGTCTCGCATCTCAACGAAGCTGTTGGGTCGGGCGGGAGCGAGTCCGGCGCCGCCAACGTCGGTTGGGCCGGCGATGACACCGGCGCCGTAGCCGGCCTGGTCGACGGCGCCGCCCCGGACCTCCGCCAGCTGGTCTCAGGCTCGCGGTTCTCGGTCCGGACCAAGATCATCAACCGGTTCGACGAGTTCCAGCTCAAGCTTCACCACTGGTCGATGGTCCAGCTCCTGGTCTCGCTCCACGAGGCGCTTGCGCTGGAAATCACCTCGCTGCGCTTCTGCAAGCTGGCCGGCCCGGCGCTCGACGCCGTCGCCACTCGGCTCACCGACACGCTTGACGCCCACCGCGAGGCCATTGTCGGCCACCCGATGTTCACCTGGCAGCAGCCGCGGTCTGAAGTCCGCGAGGGTCTCGAGATGTTTGCCGCCGTCGTCCTCTACGGCTGCGTCTTCCGTGACCATGCCGCGCTTGCCCGCGACAAGGCACTGACCAAGCGCATCTCCGCCCTGCAAATCCTCCCACCGACCGCCTTTGGCGTCGACGCCGAGCTCGCGCCCGCGCTTGCCGACACATCTGCGCTGCAAGCCAACGATCACTTTGTTCGTGCCCGCGACAAGCTGCATCTCGTCAATGCGGAGCGCTGCCCGCGCCTCAAGGTCGTCGCCATTCTCGACGCCTGCGCCGCTGTCTACGAGCTCATTGCCCAGCTCTCCGGCGCGAGCTCCATCGGCGCAGACACCCTCCTCCCGGTCCTCATCTACGTCATCCTCATCTCACGCCCGCCGCTCCTCTGGACTAACCTCGAGTACATCCAGCGCTTCCGCGCTGCCGAGGCTATGCGCGGCGAAGAGGGCTACTACACCACCCAGGTCTGGTCTGCTGTTACCTTCCTCTCCTCGCTCGACGCTGCCGACGTCGACATGGAGAAGGAGGCATTCGACAAGCTCCTGGCCGCCTCCCCTCCTGCCGCCGCCTCACCTGCCACCGCCTCGCCCACCACCGCCTCGTCCGCCGCCACCGCCTCCCCCCCGCCGCGACCTCTACCTCTACTTCCTCCTTCCCCTGCCTCGCCTCTGCCTATCGACCCTGTGCGATGCGAAGCCCTTGCCGGCCTCGATCCCGCCACCCTCACCCCAGGCCAGGTCGTCGAGCTTCACACCCAGTTCCTCGGCCTCTGGCGCGCGCACCGTTCCCAGGCCTAGCCCCCCCCCCCCCACCCCCCCCCTTTTTAAACCGTGCCAAGACCAACACTGGCAATACCACCGAGCATCATCACCCGATGATATCCCCCCCTCCCCCTTTCTCATTGCACAGCTCATCATCGATCTCAGTCGGTCAGCCGCCCCACCACCGCACGCTGCCCCCACCGCCCGCCGCCAACCAGCCAACCAGCCAACCTGCCAACCAGCCAACCGCGAGCCAACCGACCCACCACGTCCTCCGCGGGCAGCACCCCCACCCCACCCCACCCCCACCCCCCACCCCCACCCCACCCCGCCACCGCCACACTCAGTCACTATGAGCACGACGGGGTTCGAGGAGATACATCAGTTGGTGACAAGCGAAGGGATGTTTGAAGAGGGAACACGGGAAGCAAGTCTGGCGGCTTGTGGGCGTGTCCTTGCGTCGGTTGTCTCGCCGGCGGCGGTTGTTTCGGCGGCGGCCGTGGTGGCTCGGCCCGAGCCATCGCCTCTTGTCGGTCTTCTTGCTGCTGCTCTCCCACATGCGCTCACTTTGGCTGGCCTGGAATCGTTGGCTCCATCGCTCACATCTCTTGTTGCTGCTGCTGCCGCCGCTGCTGCCCGTGGCATCGATGCCTGTCAAGACTCAACCGCCCATGGTCTCCGCATCGTCCCGCCCAGGCTCTCCACCAGCCAGACCATGCTGGTTCATGCTGCTCTGGATGATCTGCATCACTCGGAGAACGCTAGCGTGGACCATCTTGCCGATGCCGGCTTCGTCGCTGCTACAGCCACCGCCCTCGCTCGCGCCCTTGCTCGCCATGCCACCCTGGACCTGCTCACGCTGCGCTACTCGTTGGCGGCCGCAGTGTGGGATGCCTACCAGGCCGGGGCCGACGATGCTGGCCTTGCCAGCGCTCTGGCTGCTGCAGGGCTCTACATCTCGCATGTTGAGCCGGGACAGCTTGCGCTTGTGGCTGCCCTCGACGAGGTGGCGCTCGGCGCTAGCGACCACCGCGATCCGCCGGGAGCCGCAGTGGTTCTCGGCGCCGTGCTGGATGCGATCCATGGCGGTGGCGGGTTGGCCACACTGCCTACCCCTGTCGTTGATGCAGCCTTTGCTCAGGTCGACGCTGATGCCTTGAGCCTGGGCTCGGCTCAACTCGCCGCCGTCCTCCCGCCGGCAGCTATGCGCCCTCTGGCGGCCAAGCTCCTTTCTGCTGACCGTTACCACACGCTGCCGCATCCGCAAGTCGAGGCCGCGCTCCTTGGCCGACCTGACGGCGGGCTTGGGGCGTTTGATCCCGACTCGCCCGAGTGGGGCGATGCGCTGGCGACGTGGTGCGAAGCGCTTGCGGCGGCGGCCGAGATCATGGGCCTCAATGTTGCTGCCGCTGCCATGCGCGCCACGGCGAGCGATGCGTCGCTTGATGACCTTTGCACAGGCCGGATTGTTGATGTTGTACTTCCGCTTCTCTTTGATGCTGCCCACGGCTCGGACGCACTCTCGGCCTTTGTCACCCTTGCCCTGGATCCGGCCACTGAGCGCGGAGCGCTTGTGGATGCGCTCGCCAACGCGCTTGCCACCCTTCCGCACGCGGTCACCCGGCCGGGCCTCGCCACGCTTGACATTGTGCGAAGCTTTGCTGACGACGTCTACGCCGGCTCGTACTTTTTCGCCTTTTTCGCTACCGAGCCCTCTGACCGCGCCGCCGAGGATCTTCGGCTTCTGCTGACCACCACCGATCTCGATCGGTATGTTTTGGCGACAATGGCTACTTTGCCACTGTCCATGTCGCAGCGGTGAGCTCTGAAGCACTTGCTAGCGGCGTGGCTAGCCTCAACTCGCTGCTGGTGCGGGCCGACATCCGAAGCAAGCTGGACGAGCTCTGCAGCTCGACGTACGAGTCGGTCCTCGTTCCGGCGCTGGTGGCAAGCGTTGAGGCTGCAACTGCAGCCGAGCCCGACAAGCTTGCGCTGCTGGCGCGGCGCGCGCTGAGCGAGACGACCACTCTCCGGCGGTGGGCAATTGCCTTCATCGAAGTCGGCGGGTGCGGAAGCCCACACCAGGCTATGGTTCAGGCCGCACTCTGCGCCGCCGTCCGTGGCGCGCTCCTGGCTGTGCCGGAAGCTCATCACGCGAGCCTTGTCGAGGCCTCGGTCTCTGCCGGCTCGAGTGTCTTTGCGGGCCTTGTCGACGGACTCCTTGCCGCACTCGACGAGGTGCCAAGCGAGGATGTGCTTGCAAGCATGGTGGAGAACATGTTCGACGTGTTTGCGCCGCGATGGCTGGCTACGTCGCTGGACGACACCACGCGTGCTGAGCTACTAGTTGACTACGTGGCTGACGCTGTGGAGGCTCGGGCAGAGCTGCTGGCTGCAGCCGAGGCCGGTGAGATGAGCGAGCTTCTTGCCGGCCTCGCGCACGCCTTTCCATGGCTCCCGTCGATGAGCGAGCTTTTCCACGAGATGCAGGCCCGGCTCGCCGACGACTTTGTGGGCGGGCTCTGCGCCAAGGCGCTGGCCGAAGCGGTAACGGCGGGGTGCGACGATGGGCAGCGCCTGGCGCGGGCTGTTGCCAACGCGGTCCTAGAGCCAGTTGTTTCTCCAGTTGCATACTCACTCACTACGGCGATCTTTCCTGTTCTGAACCGGGTCGGTGGGCTTGACGCTGCACAGGCGGATGCGCTGGCCACCGTTCGCACCAGCCTGGGCGTGACGCTCAAGGCGCTGCTGGCCACCAAGATTGACGATGGGATGCTTGCGCGCGAGATCGTCATCCCGCTCGCCGCCCAGTGCTCTCCAATCGCGGGGGCCTGGACCGAGGTGCCCGCCGATGCGTGCCGTGGCATCGGCGCGGCAGCAGTGGCCAGTGTGGGTGCGGCTGTGGGCGCAGCACCAGACGCGGTCGCGGCAGGCGTGTGCGCTCTGGCCAACGAGGCACTGACGGGCGACGAGGTGACCGGCGAGGTGTGCGGAGCGCTTGCGGGGCAGACGGTCCAGGCCACCGGCGATGGCATCAAGGTTGCGCGAGCTTTGGTGAGCAGTGTTCTGGGCGAGCTCTTGCCGCTCGCGCTTGGCGGGCAGGCGAGCAGCAGCGGCGGCAGACGGCTCCGCGAAATGGTTGCGCAGGTTGTGCGTGGATGGCTTGTCGAGGCTGCTCGAGCGGCGCCGGCGGCGGTGGCGGCGGCGAGTGTGCGAAGCATGGCGGCACGCTGCAGGGCGCTGAACGAGAGCGATGGGGCCGATGTGGTGAGCGCGGTTGGAGTGGCAGTGACGCAGCGGCTTGCCGGCCTTGTGGCCAGTGAGAGTGGGCGAGGCTCGATGCTGGCGCAGCTGGTGGCGGCTGTCGGCTCGCGGCTGCCGGAGGATGCGATGCGAAGGGTGGCCAAGGCGGTGGCTGCAGCAACGGACGCAGCGTCTGCGGTAGCCGGTGCGGTGGAGTGTGTGATGGGTGCGGCGCCTGGTGCAGTGGCTGCAGCTGCGACAGAGATGTGTGACGAGCTTCTTGCGGCGCTTGTGGAGAGCGAGGTGAGCCGGGTTGGCCCTGCCGCTGTCGACGCGGTGGTGGCGGAAGCCAGCATCGCGCCGGCAGTGGTGGGCGCTCTTGTGAGCACGATGCGGGCGTGGGCGCAGGGTGCGAGCAATGTGCTTGCTGCGGTGTGCGAGGGCCGAGTGAGCGAACTCGAGCCCGTAGCCGAGGTACTCGCGCTCTCACAGCGAAGCGTGCTGAGCCTGCCGGGTCTGCTGGAGACGGAGCTGAGCGGCGCGACGGAGCGGGATCTCTCGCCGCTGGCGTTTGGCATGGTGCTGCCTGCGGCGGAAACGATTGTTGGCGGTGTGCTGCAGCTCTTCTCGAGCTTGCATGTCTCAAGCAGCCCGCTGCTGCAGTGGCTGAGTGGATCACGCGCGAGCGGGGTTGTGGCTGCCATGGTGGCATCTGCGGTGCCGAGCCGTGACGCGGCCGAGGCCTTCTTCCGCCCGTGGCTGGAGCTCCTTTTTCCGGCGTCGGCAGCGATTCTTCTGGCGGGGGTGACGGATGGGTTGATGCGGAGCGAGGAAAGAATGGCCTCGGTGGCGGCAGAATGTCGGTCGGCGGCGGTGGGCGTGGTGAGCAGTGTGCTCCAGGCACTTCAATCGGGCAGCGAGGCCGTGGACGAGAACCGGTTGGACGAGAGCGTGCGAACGCTTGTGGCGACTGCCAAGGCGGAGGCGGCGGCTGCCAAGGCGATCAAGGCGGTGGACAACGAGAACGCGGTCGCGTCGCGGGTCCGGGCCGAGTCGCGGCAGGGCATGCCGCGGACCGGGACGCCGAACCGGGCGACGGTGACTACACCGCTCCCACCGCCGATCCGCGGCGTGTCGGAGACGTATGTGGCCTTTCGTGAGGCGTCTCATCCTGCGGCCATGGAGGAGCTGTTCAGCGGCGACACGGTTGTCGACGTTGTCTCATTCACCGGCATTACCACCGGCCGCAAGCTCACCTGGCAGCGGACGCTTGGCCTTGCGCTGCAGAGCGAGGGCGTGGCGGGCGGGCGGGCGTCGCGGTTCCGCCTCCGGGTCACCAACGTCTCGATGCGCAAGGTCCGCGTGGCGGTGACGCTCGAGGGCCTCGGCGGCGTGCAGGCAGTGTACGACCAAGACCGCGAGCTTGCCGCCGGCCTCAGCATAGGCATCGAGCTCCGGGTCTGGCCCGAGGAGATCGGCGAGTGGTTCGGCTGGGTCCATGTCTGCGGTTTCGACGTCTACGGCAAGCGCGGCGTGGTCAGCGTCCCGATGTACGTCTCGGTTCGGCCGTCGTAAACTCTGCAGCCCTTTGATGGCGATGCATCAACTCTGGCCAGCGGTTCGAGAGCACATTGCGGTCATTGCTCTCGTGCCCATCATTGCCATTTGCCAGCTCCGCCGAGCCCTTCCGCCATCAGGTCAGCCTATTGCTGCCAAAGCCAGTCGAACGAAGCCCAAATTTGAATCGATTGTTCGAATGGCAGTCGCAGCCTCTGTTACCGTGCCACACTCAACAACCCACGACAAACCTCAATGTCTGCCCCGCCGCCTGCTTACAACAACGCCCCGCCTTCGTACGGCGCGACGCCTGCTACTGCCACCAAGGGCGGTGTACGTATACCCTCTCTGTCTCTCCCCTCTTCCTCCACCTCCTCCCCTCCCCCCCTTCCTCCATGTCGCACGTGCGCGTTGTTGATGGCCAGCCCCCCCCCCTCCACGCATTCCCCCGCAGTCGGCCACTCGCCCCAACGATTAATCCAACATGCTCATTGATTAAATGGGCGACCCCCCGACG